GAATTTAGTGGCATAAGAATATTAGCAAGAGAATTTGAAATTCCTAGGCTTGATGAAGATGTAGGTAACTCATATCAAAATTTTGACTTCACTTACATTTTTGGCATATTTCCTTTCAGTGGTTTTCTATATATATATAGATGTATTTTATATTTAAAAGTTTTAAATTAAAATGTAATTTTATAAAGTTTTCAAGGCACATTCCTGTTGGAACCTGTATTTTTTTGTTGCCAAATATATTTCATTGTATGGGCATATCATATTTTATTTATCTACTTATCAGTAGATGGACACTTGGGTTGTTTCTACTTTTTGAACATAATGAATAATCTTATGAATATTTATATATAAATTTCGGTGGATGTATGTTTCCATTTTTCTTGGTTATATACCTAGAAGGTTTTGTGTGTGTGTGGTGCTGGGGATTGAACCCAGGGCCTTGTGCATGTGAGGCAAGCACTCTACCAACTGAGCTATATCCCCAGCCCTAGGAATAGAATTATTGGGTCATTTGGTAATTATATGTTTAATATCTCAAGGAACTGCCAAAATGTTTTCAAGAATGACTGCACCATTTTACTTTCCCAGCAGCAACGTTTCAGGGTTTTGATTTCTTCACATCTTCACCAAAATTGTTTTCATCTATCTTTTTCATTGTAACTACACCAAGTGGATGTTAATTGATATCTCATTGTGGTTTTAATTTGTTTCCCTAATGGCGAATGATGTTGAACATTTTTTCATGTGTTTAATGGTTGTTTGTTCATTTGTATATCTTCTTTGGCAAAATATCTGTTTAGGTTCTTTGTCCAGTTTAAAAATTGGGTTATTTTCCTTTAATTATTGAATTGTATGTGTTATTCATATGTTCTGCATTCAAGTCTCATCAGATATTTAACTTATGAATGTTTTCTCCCCAACACCACTTATTGTATGATACTATTTATATGAAATGTACAAAATAGGCAAATCCATAGTGATAGAAAGTAGACTAGCAACTGCTTAGGGGTGGGAATGGTGAGAATGGGGAGTGGCTGCTTATTTGTATGGGGATTCTTTTTGGGGTAAGAAATGTTCTAAAATTGATTTTTGTTATGGTGAATATATTAAAAGGCACTGAATTATAAATGTCCAAATTATATAGTATGAGAATTATATCTCAATAAAACTGACAAAAAATATCACTATTTATTTATTTATTTGGTACTGCGGATTGAACTCCGGCATGTTCTACCACTGAGCTACATTCCCAGTCCTTTTTGACTTCTTATTTTGAGACAGGGTCTTACAAGTTGCTAAGGCTGACCTCAAACTTGTGATTCTCTTGCCTTGGTCTCCCAAGTTGCTAGGATGACAGGAATGTACCACCTAGGCCTGGCTAAAATTATACTTTTGAATTTGGGGTTGGGGTGGAGTTCGTGGTAGCATGTGCAAGATCCTGGGTTCAATTTCTAACACCATGTAAAAATGAAATTAAGCTGCATTCACACAGCTTTTTCATAGTCTTATTAATTATTCTTCAAATAATTATTTTAATAGTCACACAATTTTTCTTCAGAATGATGTACCAATATATTTCACCATTCCTCTATTGCTAGATATTTAGTTTTGCTTCAAAATTTTTACCATTATAATAAATTGATGATAAATAGTTGTGCAGAGCTCAGATCATTTCATTAAAATACATTCCTAAAATGAATTAGACAAAATTATGCTCTGTGAATGTATAAATATAGCACAGTGAATTCCACTTTTATGTATATCTATAAAGCACCAATTAAAACAAATAGATAAATAAATAGAAGGAAGACCATTAGCAGAGGAAGGGGAATTGGGGGAGGGAAGAGGTGTTGGAAAAAGGAGGCACCAGGGACTTAAATGGAGCAAATTAAATTTCACACATGTATGATTATGCCAAAATGAATTCAACTATTATGTATAACTAGAATGCACAAATAAAAGTATAAAATACATTTCTAAAATGGAATTAGTTACTAGATAAAATTGTATGAACAATTTAAGGCTTTTATACATGTCACCAAATTACTCTAAAAAATGATCTATGTATTTAAACTTACATCAGCAGTGTAAAATAACATCTATTTCAACATGTCCTTGCCAATACTAGGTACCACAATTTGTAAGTACTGGCTGATTTAATAGACAAAAATTGCTATTTTAGGTTATTTTAATTTGTATTCTTTTATGGTGAAGTTGAACAATTTTCACGCATCTTCATTTTAATTCATATGTTACTGATTTTTCATATCTTTTGTCCATTTTCTAACATTGCTTACTGATTTACAAGAGCTTTCTAATTTATGGATGTTAAATTTTGCGCACTGTATATTCTGCAAATGTTTTTATGAGTTTGCCTTTTCATTTTGAAAAAAATCATCTAGAATCACTGCATTTTTGTGTAAAAATATGGCAATAATTTCTTTTTATACACAAAAATTTGAGACAAAATGAAAATAAAGTCAGCGTTTGTTAACTCTAAATGGCAAGCACATATGTAAATCATCATTCTATCCTTCATTCTTTAACTAAAATATGTTTCAAAATAAAATAAAGGAAAATATATAGACATTTAATAATTTGAACATATATAACTATTCATCTGTTCTGTTCATAGACATTAAAGTTGTTTTAGTTTGGAGTTTTTATAAATATCACTGTAATAATTATTTATATATTTTGTTTTTATTTTTATTATTATAATTATTATTATTTGTGGTGCTGGGGATTGAACCTATGGCCTTGCACATGCCAGGCAAGCACTCAACTGAGCTATACACTTCCAGTCCAACATTTAAAAAAAAATTCTCCATTTCTTGATAAGTTTTAAAATGCTCCAATTCTTCCCTCCTGTGTGCCCAAACACTATTTTATTATTATCAGAACATAACTTTGTGGTTTTTTTTCTATAAACTAAGTGGTTCAGTTAATTGGACAAAATGCCATGGAAAAGGTATGAAACATATAAAAATATATTTCATAGTTCAATATTCACTGAAGGTGCTCTGAAAAACGTGTTATATAGTAATATGAGTTTGGGAAATAATTTGTTCCACTTTGGGGGATTCACAATGTTCTGTAGCATGTTAAAAGTCCTGATAAATACTGCAATAAAGAAAAATGTCCATGATTTGCACAAAGGGAAGGATCCAACAGTCAAATTAGTTCAAGTGAATATTACAACCTCCTGTTGGTGAGTCACAAAATTCAGTAGCATATTGAAAGCTTTAAGAACTCCTACAAGAAAGACAATTCTCTCTCAGGCTGGGTTGTGGCTCAGCGGTAGAGCGCTTTCCTAGCACTGTGATGCCCTGGGTTCAATCCTCAGCACCACATAAAAATAAATAAATAAAATAAAGGTATTTGTGTACATCTACAACTAAAAAAATAAAATTAAAAAGATAACTCTCTAACCCTTATATAGGGTTTTTTAGAATACCTTGATAACATACAAAAATCAGAAAATAAGAGAGATGAGCACCATAGATAACTGAAATCTAGATACTACTAGCATATGAATTATCTTAGCTAAATATTAAACATTTCATCTAGGCTGTGGATAAGAAAGTAGATCGAATTCTTCCTTCTTTTTAATGTTATTATTATTATTATTTGCTACCAGGGAGAACCCAGAGGTGCTTTACCACTGAGCATATCCCTAGCCCTATTTATTTATTTATTTATAGGTAGGGTCTCCATAAGTTGCTTAGGGCCTTGAAAAATTGCTGAGGCTGGCCTTGAACTTGCAATCCTCTTGCCTCAGCCTCCCATGTAACTGGGATTACAGGTGTGCATCATCATGCCTGGCTTTAACCTTTAAATTTTTTTTTAGTTGTATATGGACATAATACCTTTATTTATTTTTATGTGGTGCTGAGGATCGAACCCAGTTCCTCACACATGCAAGGCAAGTGGTCTATTACTCAATTACAACCCCAGCCCCTTTAACCTTTGATAATGTGTGAAGATGGAGAGTAAGTAGCCCAAGTCAGATTTTTAAATGTAATGCCATCATGAAAAGAGCACAATTTGAAGTCAGCCTTGGGTTGGAATCCTAGGTGAGCTACTTACTAGCATGTAATCTCAGATAAGTAGTTTAACACCTCTCTGCACCTCATTTTTCTCATAAGTAAAATGGGAATAGTAATATCTGCCTCACAGAGTTAACATGAGGATTAAATGAGATAACACATACAAAGTACACAGCAAAATGACTGGCATATACAAAGTCTTATACAGTATCTTTACTTGTATATAGCTGACCTTCTGTAAGGGACAGAATTGAGACCTCAGAACCCACAGGCAGATTGACAGCCTTCTGAATAATTGATAACTTTTTCTTGAGAAAAGAATTGGAAATTCTTTTAGATTGAGTTTTGAGCTTCATGGTTTTTCTATAACTAAAAATCTCCTTTTAATATTAAATTCCACTTGGTTTATTTACCTGTGAGTGCTGCAAAGAGAAGTCTGTTTAGCTTTTCACTAGGCTAAAGAGAATCCTGTGTGTAAAGCTGCCTGCCACTGATTACAGATTAGTAGCATTTTAGGAGGGTTGGAGTGTAGGGAGGATGCTTTTTGCCTGTTAGTGGGTAAGAGTAGGTTATTAACTGACATAATAGAGTCAGGCAAAAGGAACCTATTTGTAACCCATATCATTTCAGAGGCCTGGGATGCACCGTGACAAGGTTTATAATTCACAGTATGAAAGTAGATAACCTGAATGGAATGTTTGGCTGTTTCAGTATCTCCTGGGGTCTTTTAGCACAAGTGACATAAGTGTGAGTTTGTAGAGAAAAAAGGAGTCTTTTTCAGTACACTGCACAGAGAAATTATGTGTAGAACATCTGCTTATGTGCACAATGAGATTGAAGAATTTAACATTCTGTTCACCAGAATGAGAATTATTCCTTTTGTAGTTATGTTCCAAAGGCTACTTCTTAGCAGTCTGGTGGCCCTGAATGTGCTTCCCTAGAAATACTGACCTGTTTGAGAGATTCAGAAATGAGAAAACTGCTACGTTTCTGTTTCCACTGCAAGAGATGATGAGACTTCTGGATAATCTGTAAGATTGAAAAATAAAGGTGAGTGCTATGATTTGGATATGGTTTGAGTCTCTTCCTGAAAAGTTCATGTGTTAGAAGCTTGATGCTTGGTGTGGCAGTGTTGAGGTGGTAACCCTTTAAGAGACAGTGCCTGGTGGAAGCTGATTAGGTCATTGGGGGGTGCCACACTCAGAAGGCAATACTGTAGTTATCACTACCTGGTTAGTTCTTATAAGAGCAGGTTATTATAAAGCAAGACCACGCCATGTGTTTGGCCCCTTCTACATGTGGTCACTTCCTTTTCTGTTTCTCTACCATGTTGTGATGGAGCTAGTGGGGCTTTGCCAGAATGCTGTTGTCATGATGTTTGGACCCTCCAGCCATCAGAATTTTGAGTCAAATAAACCTCTTTTCTTTATAAAGTACTTACCCTCAATTATTTTCTTATAGCAACAGAAAATAGAATAAGACAGTGATCAAATTCCCCTGTGTCTCATTTGGGTAGCTATTCATTCAATGGTATTTTTTCTTCTTATCTACTCTGGAGACAGCAAATATCTACAAATATTTACGGACTGGTGTTCTACATGGGAGCATTTGTAAGCAGTCCAGCTATTCACATTCCAAGAGCAATCAGCCTTCTATACTATGAACTAAGATTACTTTATTTATCAGCATTATCTGATCCATAATAATGACTGGTATTTGACTTAAATAGCTGTGATGACAGCTCAACATCATCTGACTTTAATGGAATGTTTTGGGTCTCGCTACTCACAAAATTACCCTATCTTGCTGTTATTCCATTGGACATAATTGAGATAGCTATTATAGTACTTTAGGTGTTGGTATATTTCTAAAAAGGAGTGAGGTTTCTAGAAAATAAGAGTCCCCAGATTAACAAGTAACATCATTTGTGGTACAAATGTTTTTGTTTCTGACCTCCAGCTTTTTGGAAGAGCAAAATACACTCTCAATCAGCAGCTTAATGCATGGATAATCACTTTCTTCATACATTCAGCATAATAATGTACTTGGCACTTGGAGATAAAAAAATTTGACAGTGCTCATCCCCTACAGTTTCTGCCTGGTATACTTTCTTTTATGAAATTAGTGTGTCTTCCAGAGTACTTCCATAACTGGGAGATCTCTGAAGACTCAGGCCAAGCAGTCAGGGTGGGTTACCTTTGCCATGGCAGGTTAGCAAACCCTCATGCCAGTGAGTTAATTGGGAAAATTCCAAACACAAGGCTGCTTTCTTCTAGGAATAGTGGAAAAGTAAAAATGCTTCCGAGAATGTTTTTCCTTTGAATCATGATCCCATGGTAGGCACAACATTCTGTGTTGTCTGGAATCCCAGCCTCATAGTATTCTTGCTATTGAATCTGAACAGAAAACAGCTGTAGTGACCAGGTCTTCAGTGATGGATATAGAGAATAACTCATATTTGTACAACAAAGGGAAAAAGAGGCAGAAAGTGCTTAAGGATGCAACTCATCTCACCTATCCAAGTTTCTACCAAGAAGGCAATTGACAGAGGAAAAGACAATTCTGGAAGTATAACAAATTTCTTTGCCTTGCTGCTTCTGAGAAGTGATGTTAATCCTTTTGATGCTTACTCCTTGAAAATGGTTGGTTGTCTCAATATTTTTTAGGTGTGGTTGGCAATGAACCTTTCCAGAACTGATTTTTAGGATTCTGCTAAGTGCATTTTTTTTTACGTTTTTTCCATTGCAAGTCACAATTTTATTTGGCACAAAACATTTCCACCATGCAGTTATTTGAATTAAAATCACGTGCTTTCAGACACTGATATTTGTGCTGAAAAACATGATTACCAATTTCCTTCATTGTTTTACTCCCAGGGTAAGATTAAGGTAAGGCTGCATAGGTAGGCTCACCTGGTAAGAACCAAATTGAGAAAATGCAAATACTTTTAAAAAATAAGGTTCTTCATAACAGAAGACAAATGAACAATCTAGGAAGTCAATTCACCCTCTCTTTTTTGCCATCTGTACTTATACTACTTCCCCATCCCATCTGCTTTTGCTGCCTATGCAGTAGTGATTTCACCATTATTCAATGGGTGAGTACTTGAATCAAGGATGATATCATTTTAGTCTTCTTGAATGCTGATGCTTGCCTTGTTTTTTTTCCTGTTTGTCCCAGATCTCCTCCTTTTCTTTAACATTCTAGGTTTCTAATAAACCCTTGATTCTATGTAAAGTGACTATGACAGCATATTTACATTTCCTTCTAGCCAGTGATTCTCAAAGATTGGGAAGAGTAGAGAAAAGGATGCAATGTGGAGTCTGGAAGAACTTGCACTGTGTTGTGACAACTTCATGACCTTACATAAATCATAAACCAGACTCAGTTATTTTTTAATCTGTAAAATAAGGCAATCTAATAATCTAAATGATCATTAGTAATAGATAGATCAATAATAATAAATAGATCATTAATAATCTAAATGATCTCTCATTTAGATTATTTTTCATACCTACCCTGAAATATGAGTATTTGCTAATGTTCTATCTTTGAACCTCTGAATTTTTCTTTCATCGTTCATTTCCTTGTCCACATAGATGCATGTCAGTACTGCTTATATGATTCCCAATTTTTACTTTCTCTAATTTTATTCTCTCCTTTGATTTTCTCCTTCACCTTTCATGGGTTTATCTGCCATAATTCCTATAACTACCAATGACTCCCAGATCTCTCTAGTTGGTGGGACTATGTCCAGTTATTTAAAATGTCTCTTGGCTTTGATCCTTCCTCTCCATTTTTAGTGTTACAACTACTCATGAATCTATTATGACACACACTGGGCTTCCTGCTGCTCTTTTTAGGTCTTATCTATCCAAATTGTAACTCATCCTGCTTATTATCAGTACCTGAGTAATATTTCTCAAATTTATCTTTCATTATATCAATATTAACTCATGACCATAACATTAATATCTATTTCCTTCACCAAGTCTACAAAGCCCTCCACCATGAGGTTTTATCTTACCTCTCTGAAGACTACTGCTCAAAATGCACAATGCCTACCATGTGCTTCAGAATGGGTGGCCTCTTTAGTCTTCTTATCCCATTCACATTGTACCTCTTACTTGAAGTGTTATTTCCTTCCTCTTAGCATCTATGTTAATGTTATCCACCCTAATCACATTTAAGGAAGTCCTGCCTCTTCCTTAAAACCTTACTTGTATTGACCATATCCTTTCCGTTTTTATTGATATAGTTTAAGCATCACTAACCATCAATCACACACCATATGTATCACACAGTGCTTAGCATAAGGCTAAGCCTACATTAGGTATGTAATTAATAGCATCACTTTTATAGAAATGCTCACAATCAAATGCATTGGACTTAAGGGCTTTTCTCATCTTTCCCTGCAATTGTGAATTTCTTGAGGGCAGAGGCCTCTTTTCACTTATCTTTATATCCCTCCATAGTACCATGTTTGATGTATCCCCTCGGAAGTGCCTTCTGACCTCAATGGTTAAAGATTTGCATTATTTCAGGAACACATACTAATTCAGAGTTTACGACTGGACAATGCAGGTAAAACAGTAAAATGAACATCCATGATACTACTGTATGAAATGAGTTTTCTAGGAGCCAAGGGCATGGATACTTTCTTCTTATCTAGAGACCATGGGGATCATGTCACTTGCAGATTGCTTACTTACCCAAAGGAGTAGCCCTACCCTAACCTAGTATATTATGTTTGATCCTTTCAGGGATAAGACCTAGAATTACTACTCTTGAGCAAAGGCAAATGACAGGTGTGAGAATAGGTCATTGATAGACTGGTGGCCAAATGCTAGATAGAGGTGATAAGGGGAAAAACTATGTGCATATAGAGAATATATGAATAAAATATTTTGTTTCAGGACACATGAAGTATATTAAAATGTAAGTTTACAGTATCCTTTAGTATATAATAGCATTCTTTTTAAAAAAAGAAAACTGGGAATGGAATCACCATCATGGCATTTGCAGGTAAATGGACCGAGTTGGAAAAGATAATGATAAGTGAAGTTAGCCAATCCCCAAAAAACAAATGATAAATGTTTTTTTGTGATTTAAGGATGCTGATTCATAATGGGGTTGGCGGGGAGCATGGGAGGATTAGATGAACTGTAGATAGGGCAGAGGAGAGGGAGGGAAAGGGAGGGGGTATGAAAGATAGTGGAATGAGATGGACCTCATTACCCTAAGTACATATATGAAGACATGAACAGTGTGACTCTACTTTGTGTTACAAACAGAGATATGAAAAATTGTGCTCTGTATGTGCAATATGAATTGTAATGCATTCTGCTCTAATATATAACAAATTAAAATAAAATAAATATTAAAAAACAAGCTAAAAAATCAAACAATATGAATTAGAAACAAAGAAAGAAACTATTTGGTCGAAAAATAACAGGTTGTGGTTATTTAATTTCACTACTGAATCCTGAGTATTAGATGGGCCCATAAAATATCACAGCTTAGGGCTGGGGCTGTAGCTCAGTGGTCGAGCACTTGCTTGGAACAAGTGAGGCACTGGATTCGATCCTCAGAACTGCATAAAATAAATAAATAAAGATACTGTGTTCATCTACAACTAAAAAATATTTTTTTAAAAATCACACCTTAGAGCTGAAGATAGCTTGGACACCATGGCATTGAAAATGAGGTCAGAGAGTAGAAGGTACTTTCCACAGTCTCAAGTCCAACTTAGTGGCAAAGCTGGGAAGTGTTTGCCATGTCAGAGCCCTATGTTTTTCCATTCTTTTATTTTTGGTGAAATAGTCACAGACACTGAGATAATTTATTTTGAATGGAAATTAAAAAGTCTATAAACAAAAAAGGAAATAGGCACAAAGGAGAGCTACTGGGTAGTACAGTGGTTAAGAGTTTGGACTCAGGAATGAGTATCTGTTGCTTACTTAGTTGTATGACTTTGGGTTTCTCTGAATGTGAGTTTCCTCTTCTGTAGAATAGGGTTGTTTGTTTAC